TTTCCGGAAAAGGCTGTGCTGTGCATGTGCATGTGCTGTGCCCCTCTTCAGGGCCCCAAGCCAGCTGCATTATGAAACTTTTTACGCAAAAATTTTAAAATATTCTAATTATGCTAAATTTCGGTGTTATCAACAGTTACTATCACTTTTTAACACATTTGTGTCATTATTTCACATTTCTGACGTATATTTTGTGCGTTCAAACAGTTCTTGTTCAGTTCCCGGTGCCACCGGTTTGCTCAGGACAACAACAACAACAACAACAGGCAGTGGTTGGCCCCCCTAGTGTGGCTAATTGGTCGGGCATGACAGGATAGATAGACAGGAGCACATGTCACAAGATTGACTTCTTAATTGGAAACACTTATATCTTTGACATGAAGCGGAATATGATTATCAACTTAGTGTATCTTATTGGGTATCAATAAACTGTGCCATTATCCCTTCAAAAGAGATAAAAAATCTGGTAAATGATGAGGTCTTTCAGAAATTTGTACAAAGCTGTCATTCGTCAACTGACGCCCCACTGGGAGGTACATGTACCATATGTGGACAATACCATATGTTAGTCTCCACCAGACTCCTTTGCAGGCTGAATAAATAGTAGAAATTGGCTAAGGGGAACATCATTGGCCAGAGTAGTTGGCCGGCCATAGAGGGTCCAGCTTACCTGCAGGAGACTAACCATACATGTATGTGCGGTGTGGCCAGAGGTTTGAATAGAAGATCATTCACAGTTTTGTAAGCTCATAAGGAGCAAGGATGTTGTATTTTTGTTGCTGCGTATTATTCTGGAACACTAAAGGGTTAAGTCAACGTACTATGTAAAGAAAAGAATGGAAAATATACTTTTTGTATTGTCAAAAAGTCACATAATGCCCCTTTAACATGTGATGGCTTGGGGCCCTGAAGAGGGGCACAGCACATGCACATGCTTAGCACAGCCTTTTCCGGAAACCCCTGTAGAATTCCGGTGAAGATTGTGAAAATAGGACAAGAAGTATGTGTCAGGGGCAAAAACGCCAACAGCAGCTAATTGTGTATCTGGTACTTGTGTTTACTTTTGTCTGTGTGTTGATATTCTACAGGGATTCCATCTGGGATCTTGCTATAGAAGTGGTTCAGCAGCAGGAGAAGGATGGGAAAGGTGAGGAGTTTACAGTCACAAAAATCCACAGATGTTATAGATACTACATGTTCCCAGGCAAAGCTAGGAAGGCTCACATTAGTAACATATTAAGATAAACTCAGTTTAAAATGCTCTTTGATATACAAATGTATGTTAATAACATGTTATTGTGAACTTGTGATTTTTCATTTCCTAACCTCTCCCCACATCCACAGATGGTCAGCAGGAGAACCGACCGGCAGAGGAAAGCTCAGTTTTGTTGATGGGCAGCAAAACCTCGGTAAGTCTTTCTCAATTTGTCATTGATACTGTTATCAAAAAGATATTTTCCGTATTTCAGATAGGTAAACTATCTTGGTGTCAATATTATGTAACATTACCTGAAAATCACATACGACATGTAGTTAACATGAATACTCGACAACTGATGTACAATATTTTTTTTTTACTTTGCAGGGTAAAACTTCCATTATCCTGAGATTCTTGGACAGGTGAGATAATAGTCTTGCAGGTGGATTTTAGATGTCAAGTAGAATATTATCTGCTATATACACAATCATTATGGTATGCTGCAGTTTTTGTACCATGCTGTTTAACATCTTTGTGACATGCTTGCAGACTAATTCTGTATGTTGCTTGTTTTGCATGACTATGTTGGAGTCAGGAAAAAAAATTCAATTGTTGTGTCATGAATTTTTTTAATGCCAATCCCACTGCTAACATCTACATTTCCTTTGTTTTAATGTGGAATGTCCTGTCAGGGAAGGTCCTGTGTAAGTGTGGCATGTTAATGTTAATGTGAAGTCTGTGTAGCCTTTTTGTTTCTGTGATAAACTCACCTTGAGTCTCTGCATGGTTCTGCCCTGTCCTCCAAATTCCAATCCTTTTCTGCTGGTTGATAACTTGTTAAGTTGTATGGAGTTTTTCTTGCATGGCAAGCCACTACTAGTAGCATAATGCACTGGCCATTGCATACTGCAACAATTAACTGCTTGTGCTGTAGTATTTGTAACTGAGTTATGTATGTTCTGCAAACTGAGTACACATGCATGCAAATTCTTATATACCAAAATGTCAAATTGCACATGCATGCGCTTTTGAGAATTTCTTGGCAATGCATGCAATTAAGGAATACATTATGGGCTGTTTTCACATTTTAAAGTAAAACAGTTACTATTGATATGAATATAGCTTATGTACACTAGTGAGGACTAAACAGACCATGTCATATCAACGTATCCATTTCATATCAATCATGCTTACAGAATTGTGACAGCAAGTTAGCAACATCCATGTATTATGCATGCCTTGTCCTTACTTTCATGGGTGAAAGTCTCTTAAGTTCCAGGCTTTTCATATTTATGCAAACCTTGCATGTAAGTAGTCTGTAGGCTTTGTGTACCTTATGGTATAGCAGTCGTAGTAAAACAATGCATTTTGCTCTTTGACATCCTACATCCTTGACTGTATCCTTGTCTTCATCTTTTCTCCGACTCATTTAGAGATGAGGCTGCAAAGCCAACAACTGCTCTAGAGTTCACCTTTGGCAGGAGAGCCAGAAACAACCTGGTAAGTTACAGTTTTAAGTCTGTTTGAAGGTTAAAATTCTCTTAGTCAACAGTTTTCTTTTACCAATGTGTTGGTGAAAGCACCCCACTGTTTTAACATGTCATTTGTCATTGAATTAGGTACCACACACTGTACCATTTTGATTGTGCAACTATCAGTTATGTCTGCTTCAAACTTCAGGCCAAAGATGTGGTGAATATCTGGGAGCTTGGAGGTGGGACCTTTCTGTCCAGACTGGTAGACACTGCCATCAATGTTAACAGTGTCAGGTAGGTCATCATACCTCAGCAATGTCTGTCAGTTACAACTATGTATTTTCTGTTACTGGAAGTGTTGTAAACCCATGAGTAAACTTTGATTTGATTTTTTCTATCACATCCTTGTCATCTCATCGTGTTTACATGTACAATGCAGTTCATAGCATGATGGCCACAGTTAAGCACTGGATTACTAGACGTAAGTATTCATACCTGTACTTACTTCTCTCTTCATGATTGCTCCCACCTACAGACAGTTGGGCATCATGCTGGTGCTGGACCTGTCCAGACCTGAGGACCTGTGGGTTACCATGGAGACGCTGCTGAAACAGGCGCGTGCAGCAGCGGACAGGTCCATCTCTGAGCTGGACAAGCTGCAGCCTGGAGTGAAACAGGCGCTCAGGAAGAAGGCCTGGGAGAAGTATGATGAACATCCTGTAAGTAAAGTAGTGGATCTACCTTCTGATCTACCACCTTTTCTCAGTGCTTGGGTGAAGTTATGGAACTACCTCTCGCAAAAAACTCTGACAAACAGAGACAGACAGAAGTTCAAATGTAGAAACGACACACATCTTAGAGTTAGTTGTATGTCAGTGCCCTGTCATCATTGCTGCCTTCTTCTGTTGTTCTGATGAAATTTGCATTATGCTTCGAAAGCATAGCTTTGATGTCTTTTTACAAACCTTTACACAACTTTTTCTTTGATTTCTCCCAATCAACAGGATAAAGACATGGTGGACCCCTTCCCCATTCCTCTGGTCATTGTTGGTGGAAAGTATGATGTTTTCCAGGTAAGAGCATACACATGACATGGACATGTAATGGACAAGTATGGAACAGTTGCCTGACAACAAATATTAACCAATGTGATTACAACAAGTACATCCCGGCCCAGTGGAAAACTACTGGTCCTATATCTATTTGCTTATTATCAGCCTTTCTGCTGTCTTATATGA